CTAGCCTGCTTGCCTCCTGCTAGTGTAGCCTTGTGCCTGTCTAGCTTAGGTGCTTGTGTTGCTGCTCTAGGTGCTTGTGTAGCGACTGGGTCAGGTGACCCTCCGGCTGAGGCCTCTCTGTCGTTCACGCTGGACTCGGGCGCGTCTCAGTGCTTCTTCCGCGACCACACGACCCTTACGCCACTCCTCACTCCTGTGTCAGTGGCTCTGGCTGATCCTACCTCTGGACCAGCCGTTGCGCGTAGCTCCACCACCCTCCCGTGCCCTGTGGTCCCGTCTGGTGTCCTGCGCGGCCTCCACATCCCCTCGTTCACTCGGAACTTGGTGGGTGTTGGATACCTCCAGGACAGGGGGATCACGGCTACCTTCGTGGGGGGGTGGGCGGACTGCAGTCTGTACTGACGCTACCACATGTGCTGTTCTGGCCACGTTCACCAGGGAGCCCCGCTCCGGTCTCTACGTTCTCCACACCGAGCGCTCCCCGGTCGCGTCCTCCCCTCAGGTCGTTGCGTCCCCTCCGGCCCAGGTCCCCAGTCCAGTTGCTGTGTCTAGCCAGGTAGTAGTGTCCGGTCCGGTCGCTGTGTCCAGTCCAGTCGCTGCGTCTTGCTCCTGTCGCTCTCTCACCCACCGCACCGTCCTGTGGCACCACCGCCTTGGCCACCCGTCGATCCCTCGCCTCCGTGGCATGCTCAGTCAGGGACTTGTCTCAGGTCTCCCACGCCCCTTCCCGTCGCTCCCTCTCTCGCTTGCCCCTCCTTGCTCTCCGTGCGTCGCCGGTCGCTTACGCGCCACTCCCCACTCCTCCTCCCTTCGTCCGACCACCGCTCCCTTCGAGACTCTCCACTTGGACGTCTGGGGCCCTGCCCCGACGCAGGGGTCTGGGAGGGAGCGTTACTTTCTGGTGGTCGTCGACGACTTCTCCAGGTACACCACAGTGTTCCCTCTTGCGAAGAAGTCCGAGGTGACTGCTACGTTGATCAGGTGGCCTCTAGCCACCGAGGGCACTCGTGGTCGTCGAGTCAGTTGTCTCCACTCCGACCGTGGGGGCGAGTTTCGCTCCGGCATTCTCGGCGGATTCTGCGGCGAACAGGGCATCACCCAGTCCTGGACGCTGCCAGAGTCCCCACAGCAGAATGGGGTTGCTGAGCGCCGCATAGGCTTGGTCATGGACATCGCCCGCACGTCCATGATCCATGCCCGTGCGCCCCATTTTCTGTGGCCCTACGCGGTTCGCTACGCCGCACACCAGCTGAACCTCCAGCCGCGTGTCTCGCGGCCCGAGGCTTCACCGACCAGTCTTTGGACTGGTTCCTCTGGTGTCGGGTCGGCCTTTCAAGTCTGGGGCTGCCTTGCGCTTGTTAGCGACACCTCCGCGGACAAGCTCTCGGCACGCGCCGTCCCCTGTGTCTTCCTTGGTTTCCCAGTGGACTCTGCCGACTGGTCCTTTTACCACCCTCCCCTCCACCAGTTCCTTGACTCCCGTGACGTCCGGTTTGACGAGTCCGTGTCCTACTACACCCGGTACCCCTGTCGAGGTCTCCCGGTACCCCCTCCCCCTCTTTTCCTCGCACCCTCTCCTCCTCCTGCTCCCGCTCCTCCGGTACCCCCGCCCCCCCCTGGTCCTGCCCCGTCTGGTGTGTCCCACGTTACCCCTCTACCCTCGGTCGCGCGTCAGGTAGCGTCTCCTTCCCCGCAGTCCTCCTCACAGTCCCCTCAACAGCCTTCGGCACTTCCGCGACAGGTTACTGTGGACTCGGTTTGTGTTGGAGCTGGAGGTGCAGCCGCTGGCGGTGCTCGGTCTGGGGGTGCTCGGTCGCGGGGTGCTGGAGCTGGAGGTGCTGGCGCAGGTGGCGCTAGCTCTGGGGGTGCTGGAGCTGGAGGTGCTGGCGCAGGTGGCGCTAGCTCTGGGGGTGGTGGAGCAGGAGGTGCTGGCACTGGAGGTGCTAGTTCTGGGGGTGCTGGAGTTGGAGGTGCTGGCACTGGCGGTGCTAGTTCTGGGGGTGCTGGAGTTGGAGGTCCTGGCACTGGAGGTGCAGGTTCTGGGGGTGCTGAGTCTGAGGAGACTGATGCTGGAGACCCTGGTTCTGCGGAGTCCACTCCGCCTCCCCACCGCCACGACACACGTCTCCAGGCTGCCCGTCGGCGTGAGCGTGAGGAGCAGGAGCGGTTGGAGAGGGAGCGGCAGGAGCTGCGGGTGCTGGACCTTCTGGAGCAGCAGTGGAAGCAGCAGCAGCAGCAGCAGCAGCCGCAGCCGCAGCAGCAGCAGCCGCAGCCGCCGCAGCAGCAGCCGCAGCCGCCGCCGCAGCAGCAGCAGCCGCAGCCGCCACCGCAGCTTCCTCTGGAGCGGCGGTTGTTCCCACCTGTGAGTGGCCTGCGGGCCCTTGGCCTTTCCTCCTCTCCTCCTGTTCGCTCCCAGTCTCCTCCTGTGTTTGTCCCTCCGTTGCCTCCTCCTGACGACCGTCCGGCGGTCTGGTCTTCTCCTCCTCTTCAGTCTCCTCCTCCTTCTGTCCGTCACGACTTGATCACTCGTTGTCCTCCGCGTGCTCGTCACTCGTCCCCTGTTACTGACCTTCACACAGCCCTCCTTTGTTTGTCTCGTCGTCGTTCTCCTGTGTCCGTTCTCCCGTCTCCTCCTCCGTCCACTCTCCCAGCCCTCCCCACTCCTATCTCTGACTACTACCACGCTGTTCGTCCTGTTGCCGCACGTGTCCTCGCCACTCTTGTCACCGACTCTCGTTTCCCTCCGTCGTCTGTCTCGGCTCTTACTGCCGCTGTCGCTGAGTTTACTGTCGCCAGCCGCCTTGACTACGCCACCCGTGTGGTGCCAGCTCCTCCCTACCGTCCTCTGTCCGTCGGGGGTGGGTTTGCCCTTGGCTGTGACGTCCTAGAGGACAGAGAGTCTGAGCTGGAGTACTGGGCAGCCGCTTCTCCCTCTGTCTGTGCCATGTTGCTCTCCCCTGAGGGAGACCCCGACGCCCTTGACATACCGACTCCTCGCACTTACCGCGAGGCAGTGTCAGGGGCGTGGGCCTCTCAGTGGAAAGCGGCTATGGACTCAGAGTTGGCGTCTTGGAGATCCACAGGCACCTACGTCGACGCAGTTCCCCCTCCCAGGGCGAACGTAGTCGATGGCATGTGGCTCTTCAAGGTGAAGCGGCCGCCTGGAGCACCGCCGGTGTTCAAGGCGCGCTACGTGGCTAGAGGCTTCAGTCAGCGTGAGGGAGTTGACTTCTTCCAGACCTTCGCCCCGACCCCGAAGATGACTACTCTTCGGGTGCTACTCCACATAGCAGCGCAGCGAGACTACGAGCTGCACTCCCTCGACTTCTCCACTGCTTTCCTCCAGGGCCGACTACACGAGGAGATCTGGCTGCGCCGTCCTCCTGGCTTCACTGACACCTTCCCACCTGGGACCCAGTGGAGCCTGAGGCGACCAGTCTACGGTCTCCGCCAGTTGCCCCGTGAGTGGCACGACACTCTTCGCTCCACGCTTCGTGACCTTGGGTTCAGCCCGTCCTCCGCCGACCCGTCGCTGTTTGTTCGAGCGGGTTCTACTCCTTTCTTTATCCTTGTCTACGTCGACGACTTGGTGTTTGCTACAGCAGACAGGGCAGCCCTGGCTCAGGTGAAGTCCGAACTGCAGAAGAGACACAAGTGCACTGACTTGGGTGAGCTGCAGCGCTACCTTGGCCTGCAGATCACCAAGGACAGAGCCGCTCGCACCATCACACTGACGCAGTCACACATGGTGCAGCAGGTCCTTCGGCGGTTCGACTTCCAGTTCTCCACCACACAGCCCACTCTTGCTGTTGACCACCGACTCACTGGCCCCTTTCCTGACGAGCCCTTTGAGCCCAGTGGTCCCTACGCAGAGCTTGTGGGCTGCCTCATGTACCTGATGACTTGTACTCGGCCAGACCTCGCCTTTCCCCTCAGCATCCTCTCTCGCTTTGTTGCGACTGGGAGACACCATCCTGTCCACTGGACAGCTGCTGTGAGGGTGGCGAAGTACATGGCGACTACATCAGGCATGGGGCTTGTGCTTGGAGGGACTCAGCCAGTGGCGTTGACTGGTCACTGCGACTCTTCCTACGCTGACGACGTGGAGACTCAGCGCTCGACTCAGGGTTACTGCTTCAGTCTGGGAGCTGGTGCTGTGTCGTGGAGGTCTACACGGTCGTCGTCTGTGGCTACTTCCAGTGCAGAGGCAGAGATCTACGCTGGTGCCATGGCGGCACAGGAGCTTCGCTGGTTGACCTTCTTGCTCGCCGACCTTGGTGAGCGGCCTCGCTCTGCACCGACCTTGTACGCTGACAACAAGGCCATGATCCTCCTATGTCGAGAGCCTCGACTGGAGAGCAGAGTGAAGCATATTGACGTGAGGTACTTCCTCCTGCGAGAGCTGCAGCGACGCGGCCAGGCACGCCTGGACTTTGTGGCCTCAGAGGCCAACACTGCAGACGTCTTCACCAAGGCCTTGGCGCTTGGTGATCAGCACAGGTTCTGTGTGCAGTTGGGGCTTGTTGAGGTAGGCCCTCGGTTGCTGTAGTCTTGTTGTTTGCTCTGCTTGTTGTGCTTCCTATTTATATCCTAGTGAACTCTTGAACTGGCCTTGTGGCCGCTTGCTTGCGCTCGGAATTTGTGTGGTGTCCTTGAGATCCACCCTGAGCTTGCCTTGTTTCTTGCTTTGACTGGTCTTGTGACCGTTTGTTCACCTTGCTTGCTTTGATGCCCCTCACTTAGCCTATGGGGGTGTGTCAAATGTAATTCTATGCTTGTAGGCTACAGTGAGTAGCACAATAGGGAGTAAAGTTGTTAGGGTTGCATATTTGTACTCTCACACTTTCTAGTTTCGCCCATTCCGTTGCATTCCTATTCTGAGAGGAACGGCCATACCCATCTGAATGTCCGCACTGATTTCAGCCAGACTAGAAGGCCCTTGTTGCATTGAATACTTGAAGCTGTAGCGCTTGCGGAGACCGGCCATGTCACTGGTGATATTAGTCCACGTAAATGAGCTGCCTCCGTTGTTAGCAGTGCAGGATGTGGTGCTGCTTGTTGTAGGCGCAGATCCACCAGATCGAATGCTGAAGACTTTATATGTAATGATGAGATAGTTTTTCGCAGATGAAACACTGCCAGCAGGGCATTGCGGGGGATGGCCGCGAGAGGGGAGAGGGGGTAGAGGGGTTGGGGGATGGGATACTAGGACTGGAAAAGAAACCAAGTTATAATGGTGAAAGAAGCTGAGGAAATAATTTCCCAGATCCTCGAGAAGTCACAATCAAGAATAGTGACAAAACGTTTCAAATGCACACAATACAAAACAGAGTAACTTGGACGTAAGGGGGCGAGGGGTGGGGGTTGATAGTGGGGTGGGGGGCTGGGGCCACTGGCCCAAGAGCGCAAAAGTTGGAACAAAAGTTGGAACAAAAGTTGGAACAAAAATTGGAACAAAAGATGGAACAAAAGATGGAACAAGAGCTTCAGCTAGTAAAATCACAGGACACACCTCACCACCTTTACGACCGTTTTCCCCGATGCACCTTTGTCGCCGACCACTTTCCCATTGATCTTTGCAGGACGCAACTTGGCCACCCACTTTTCTGGCAAATGGGAACGGCAGGGATAGTGGCGCATGGGAAGGGGCGTGGATTGACGACGGGTTGATATTCGTAGCACCACTGAATGAAGGCCTGGAACGCCCTGGCGGTTTGAGGAACGACTAGTTTTTCTACAGGACTCTCGGAGGGCGGCGACTTCATGATACTCTAAAGAGGGACGATAACTTCTACTAGAAGAGTATACAACTTTGATTTAACTCAACAATGGAAGTGACATCGCACTATTACTAAGAGAGACCTTTATGATTCAACTCAGCCGCTGTAATCTGGAGGAAGTGGCCGCATCGGTGCATCTGCACCGTCCGCTGCTGCTGCTGCTAGTAGCGGCACGGAGCACCGCGACGCAGCGTCGCCGTCACAGAGGCAACGAGCGCTGCGAAACTCACCTACAGTCTTCCCTTTCACCGCCAAGGGCTCGGCCTGAGCCGCGGTGGATGCGGCTGAAGCACTGCCGACGCGTGAGAGGAATGGCGGAAAGGCGGCAGACGAGGCAGTGAAGAACACCGCACCTGACGGGCAAAGCAGCGCACGGGGGGAAGGGGGGGAGGGGAGGGGGGGGAGCGGGGGGGAGGGGGAGGGGGGGGGAGGGGGGGGGGTGACATTGGAGAAGTGAGATGCGTGACTGCTGACACAAAACTGCCAGAAACGGCGAGGCCGCGCCAGAAACGGCACAGCTGGCTCCTGACGTCGATACTAGCAGCGGCGACGCACCCGCGCAGTTGCATCGATCGATGCGCCATCACCACGGGTAAAGAGCAAAAGTAGTAGAGCAGGGAGGGTGAGGTGCTTACTACAGAGGAGGACGAAGAGAGGTGTCGTCAAGTGCTCCATGTTAAGAAGTACAGGGACTGCTAGTACCCAGTAGAGGGCGAAATTTGGAAACCGAAAATGGAAATCTCAAGTGCCCGATGCACACTTGTGTATACCCCGTCTCAGTCAGCCCGAGCGCGCCAGGGGTGTGGGAGGCGTGACTCGCCAATGGCAGCTGGAGACGTTCAACTGGATCAAAGTTTCCAGGTCGGGGCGGGGGCAAGAGGCGGGTCTGCAGATCGCAGTGACACACCGACCTAGACACACCAAGTCCGCTGGGTTCGCGCCGAAGTTGGTCGCGGCTAAGTCCGCTGCCCGTGTGGACACGGCGCTCAAACGTCGAGGGGTCCCGTCCCGTCCCACACAACTCCCGAATCCCGATGCGGCCAAATCATGCGATATGGCATGCTCCAAGTAAGCCCGCCTTGCGGTAACTGCTGGATATGTTGAGTGCCCCTTTTTTCCTGCTGCACGGGGCAACAGAGCCGGGCTTGAGCCAAAACCGCTTTTTGGGGGGCGTCATCGTGCATCAACCTGTGTGGCAAACTGGGGGCATGTCACTCCTTTTTAGGGAGCGTCTACACCCTCTTTCTCGCCATACTGACGTCCGCTATACTGACATCCAGAGTGAAAAAGCTCGGTTGAGGTTGGTTGATTTAGGTTTCGGTATGGTTTATTTGGGCAAATCGAATAGGACAAGGCCAGCCTGCCAGTTACGCGCGGGTCAGTGTAGCGAGAAACAGGGTGTACTACAGTACACCCTGTTTCCCGCTACTAGAAACTGCGTAAGCAATTACTGTTCCTTGGCTGTATTCGGCGTGTTGAACTTAGGGCGTGTAACCATTTTGCAATTTCTTTAAAACTAACCTCCGACAAACGAACGGTTCCGTTTCTCATATGGAACCGTCCGTAGAACGAAAGTATTCGAACCGAAAAGTATAACTTTTCTTTTATGGTTTTGAATCCGCGCGAAACGGTGCAAGGTTACGCAATCAGGCGACTGTCGCGATTTTTGCGAAGACAGCACTGCGGCTCGGGTTCGCAAGTTTTCGCAATGTCGCACCGTCATCGATTTTTCGTGCGCCAACTACGGGTCCTATTTCGACCCGTCCGTTTCTGACGAACCGTAACCGTTCGGGTGCTCGGTTCCCTCCTTTTTCCACAAAAAGTTCCACACGGTTATGTTGCAAATGCGACGTCACATGGCTATGTGCGAAATTGTGAATGAAAAGGGGCGACACTAATAACCACCATTTCGAATGGACGGTCCGAATAACGAACCGTCAGGTGCAAAATGGTTACACGCCCTTAGCCTCGAAGATGTTGAGGGAGGTTCCGGCCACATCTTCGGTTTCTTGACAACCCTACCCAGCCATCCCAAAGAATCGACTGAGCGTTCTCACTTCGTTGATTTGGATCGATGCGAAGCTGACTATAACGTGGTTGATAGCGCCAACTTGGACGGATAGTTGTGTACAATGGAATCCATTATAGCGCGAAACACGATGTACCTCTTGGCAGGGCCTTTGCCAGAATTTTCATTATTCTGAGCTTTTGGGGCATGTACGGAATTTTTCCACATTCCGTGCCGCGCATCTCAACATCGCGTAAAGGACCGAACGTTTCTTTGCCTGTTACTGATAACGGTGTTTTGTCCGTCTTTGCGCTCTACATTTGCCAAACCATGCATCGCTGGCCTGACCGAGTCGGCCTACGCTTCGAGACTAGCCCGAACCTCGCTGTCAGCATTGCACTAGCTAGCTCGCACGCACCGCGTTACCGTTTGCATGGTTCGCTTATAAGTATTTGCTCATACCTTCGCTCATACTTGCACTCGTTTGCCGACTTAATGCGATCCTCGCTACCTCGATACATTGCACCCGTAACACATGACTATCAGAGCCACTTTCTTTTCGGACCGCGCATTCACAGAACCAACAGAACTCAACTTTTGTTTTTTTTTCACTCGAAGGGACTCACGCCAATTAGCGTACTAGGAGCCGCTGTCCTCGCGCACTCTCGTAAGCGCGTGCAGTCACGACTGCGTCTGCTCCTAGCGGGAGGCGCAAGGGCGGCAGGGGCAAGGGGGGCAAGGGTGGCGGAGGTGGCGGCGGGGGCGGCGATGGTGGAGGGGGTGGAGGGGGCGGGGGTAGTGGCGGTGGTGGGAGTGGTGCTGGTGGTGGGGGGGTCAGTGGCGGAGCCGGGGGTGGTGGCGGCTTCGGTGGTGGGGGTGGCGGTGGTGGTGGTGGCAGTGGTGGCAGCAGTGGAGCTGGTGGCGGGCGCGGTGGAGCGGTGCAGCGCGGGGGGTTCGGCGGTGGCCAGAGGCAGCAGCAGCAGCGTCCCAGCGAGACCCCGTCGCCCCAGCAGCTCCGTGAGTGGTACTCTCAGCGTGGGGGGTCTGGGGGTGGAGGTAGCTGCCCGTACGTCATCCGCACAGGTGACCGCACTGGCCAGACCTGTGGGAGGTTCCACACGGCGCAGCGCTGCTTCTTTCGTCTCGACGACGCCTGGCGCGAGCAGTTTCCTAACGCCTCTGAGCTGCCCCGCTGGGCTGATCTACTGAAAAAGAACATTGATATCTTTGCTCTTGATTTTGATGCTATCCTTGGTGCCATGTATGCATTGACTATTAGTGTTGAGGGTGACTGTTACCTGCGTGTACCGCCCGACCCGGGTATTGGGACCAGTGAGGCTGCCGCTCTAGGTACTAGTGCGTCTGCTGCCCTAGGTCCTGGTGAGGCTGCTGCTCTAGGTGCTAGAGAGTCTGCTACTCCAGGTGCTCGTGCGTCTGCGCCTGCTGGTACTGCGTCTACTGAGGCACTGCACACCTTCACACTGGACTCGGGTGCTTCCCGCTGCTTCTTTCGTGACCGCACTGTCCTTGAGCAGCTAGCTCGGCCTGTTGCTGTCTCCCTCGCTGACCCCTCTGGGGGCCCGGTCCTTGCGACCTCCTCCACTGTCCTCCCTTGTCCTGCGGTCCCGTCCGGCACCCTGTCGGGTCTTTACCTCCCCTCGTTCTCTACGAACTTGGTGGCGGGCTCTGCTCTCCAGGACGGGGGTGTTCACCAGTTCACCCCTGCCTATGAGCGTGTGACCCACTGTACGTGTGCTCGGACGGGTCGCCACCTGGCTACCTTCACTCGGCAGCCGGGGTCGGACCTGTACACACTGACCACTGAGTCCCCTCAGGTAGCTGCGTCTGCGTCTGCGTCAGGTCAGTTGTCGGCCCCCTGCTCGTGTCGCACCCTGTCGCAACAGACCGTCCTCTGGCACCACTGCCTTGGTCACCCGTCAGTGCAGCGCCTTCGTGGCATGCACTCCGGGTACCTTGTCTCTGGTCTTCCCAGGACCCTGCCTCCCCTGCCACCCTCCCCTGCCCCTCCCTGCCTTCCCTGTGTCGAGGGGCGGCAGCGCGCCGCTCCTCACTCCTCCTCGTTCCCTCCCACAGAGGCTCCCCTGCAGACTCTCCACCTGGACGTGTGGGGCCCAGCCCGCGTCCGTGGACAGGGCCACGAGCGGTACTTCCTGCTGGTCGTTGACGACTACACGCGCTACACCACGGTCTTCCCCTTGCGCACCAAGGGTGAGGTCCCTGATGTTTTGATCCGCGCTGCTCGTCTCCAGCTCCGCGAGCGGTTCCAGTCGGACTTTCCCGTCCTGCGTCTGCACTCTGTCAGAGGTGGGGAGTTTTCCTCCGACCTCTTGGCAGCCTTCTGTGCGGAGCACGGCATCCGCCAGGCGTTCACGCTTCCGGCCTCTCCGCAGCAGAATGGGGTTGCTGAGCGCCGCATTGGCTTAGTCATGGAGGTCGCTCGTACCTCCATGATCCATGCGGCTGCCCCCCATTTCCTGTGGCCGTTTGCAGTCCTGTACGCTGCGCATCAGCTCAACCTCTGGCCCCGTGTCTCCTTACCGGAGACCTCGCCCACACTGCGTTGGACGGGGGAGGTTGGCGATGCGTCGGTGTTCCGGGTCTGGGGATGTCGAGCCTTTGTCCGCGATACGTCCGCGGACAAGCTCTCCTCCCGTGCCGTTCCCTGTGTCTTCCTTGGCTTTGTCCCTGACGCGCCTGGCTGGCAGTTTTACCACCCCACCTCGCGCCGTGTCTTCCCCTCTCAGGACGTCACTTTTGACGAGTCGGTACCCTTTTACCGTCTGTTCCCCTACCGCACTGCCCCGCTTCCCCCCCCGCCGCTCTTCCTCACCCCAGGTGTCCCTTCGGTAGACCCCCTCCCTCCCCAGGGTCCTGCTCCCTCAGGTGTTTCCCAGGTAGACCCGGTCGAGCCTGTCGAGGTAGCTGTCGACTCTGGTCCTGCGAGGGGTACTGAGCCTGGGGGTGCTGAGACTGGGGGTGCTGAGCCTGGAGGTGCTGAGGCTGGGGGTGCTGAGCCTGGGGGTGCTGAGACTGGGGGTGCTGAGACTGGGGGTGCTGAGACTGGGGGTGTTGAGCCTGGGGGAGCTGAGGCTGGGGGTTCTGAGACTTACCGTGCTGCGCCTGGTGGCGCTCCCTCTTCACAGCAGCTGCGTGAGTGGTACTCTCAGCATTGCAGCCTCCGGCGTGGGGCTACTGGAGCTGAGGGTTCTGCGGGAGTTGGAGTTGGTGGTGCTGCGGGTGCCGTGTCGCTCCCGGAGCCTCCCTCCCCACAGCGGCTGCGTGAGTGGTACGCTCGGCGCTGCAGCCTCCGGAGCGGCGCTCCTAGTGCTGGGGTGCCGCCCGCTGGAGGCCCTGGTGCTGCTGGAGGTGCTCGTACAGGCGGTACTGGAGCTGCTGGGACTGGGGGTTCTACTGGAGCTGGTGCTGGAGCTGCTTGAGCTGGTCCTGCTGGAGGTGCTGCTGGTGCTGGAGCTGCTGATGGTACTGCTGGAGGTGCTGCTCGTGCTGGAGCTGCTGGAGGTGCTCCTGGTACTGGTGCTG